AAAGTTTACCATTTTTATAGCCCAAAAAACAAAGAAAAAATTAACGTTTAAAAATTAAAAAGTTAGTGATTCAGCAATTGAGGGATAAAGCGAAGTTGTTACAGATGTTGTTCCTTATCTCTGTGCGTCTTAAAATGAACCAGGAATTAAATTATGCCCGGTAAAGCTTTAATCTTCATTAGCAGGTTTGCGATTGACAACAAAGGTCGTTAACAGGTAGTCATTACTGAAAGTACCAGTTTGTTACCGTCTTTTAGTAATATAAATGCACTCAGTCATTATAGTGTTGCCTTATTAGGTATCATCGGTACCTCAGCAATACAGTTTTTTTGATTATGAATTTTTAATACTGAATCGAGTTCGTTTTACAGCTCCTTAAATGTTTAACTTAAACTTTGATTTTTTTGACAAAAAGAGAATATCATACAATAACTGGAATAAGTATGGGTGTATTGCTTATTTAATATATATATATATATATAAGCTATTAATAAAAAAATGTTATATTGTTGTTTTTCTTCATTTTTATAAAAGTGGTTGTCATATGACTTGTAAAATATGAGTGTTAATTATGATTTCTTTTATGAACGCGAAGCTCAAGGTCGTTCAGCAGCTCAAGGTCCCTCAACGAGCTATGGAGTGGAGATATCCGCAGTAGAACCCAACGAATTAGTAAGTTAAAGTGGCAATGCGCTGGCCATATAGTTCGAAGACCCGAAAACCGATGGGGGTTCTCCCCCATCGGTTTTCGGTTCTCGGTTCTCGAGTGGCAGCCTCGTACCGGTAAGCGAATTGTAGGGCGGCCCCTCACTAGATGGAGTGACGATCTAATAAGACGCTGGATGCTGGAAGTTGATGGATGCGGGTGGCTCAGAACCGTGCTTTGTGGCATTCCTTGGTGGAGGCCTATGTTCAGCAATGGACTTGTGAAGGGCTGTAATGAATGAATGAATGAATGAATGGATGGATATTTACGCGAAGAAATGTGTAGTACATTGAATAAAACTATTTTACGGATTTTATCGCGTATTACTTATTTTTCATTCCCCGAAACGAATTTCCTAAAATATCGGGAACTAAAAATAGGTAATTTAAAAAAATGAAATAGTTTTATTCAATGAATGTAAATTCCTCTAAGTGTAAATTCCTTCTTTTTGTCCTCTTGTTTTTTTAATTTGGCAACTTCTAGTTCTTTTGCTATATTGACACATAATATGTCATTACTCTAAGTATTGACCAAAGAGATATTAACAGATCGTAATGACATAATGTCATATTTTTATTTATTGGTGTTGCTGCCAGGAAAACGGAATATTTTCCTGTACAATATAAAATATTTGATTGGTAACAATTTGTTATTTAAGAGAAATCCTGTTGATGCGCTAATTGTTAAGGAATAAGAAGTAGGTACCTACCTTCTATAAATGACCAAAAGTACTGTATTTTTTGCTCTTTTATGGTTTCGATTTCTCTCGGCTTCGCACATGTGATTTCTGGATCTTGACAGCGCCACCTACCTGGTCCAATTATATCTAATAATAATCAAGGTATCATAAGTACGCGATAAATAATTAATCAAAATCAGTCTGGCCATTTAGAAAAAGAAGAATTACTAACACACGCACATCGAAATTTTTTTATATAAAGATGTGCTCCACGAATGAAAAAACGTGCCCTAACAAAATTTCATAATTTTATAATAAGCGTTTCAATTTAAAAAAATATCTGTAATAAATCATTGATCTTCTTTCATTGATTCTTATATGACTATTTATTTTTACAGTAAGTGAGATCGACCAGTACCTATGGATGGTAGGAGGGTCAGCGGGCGCGCTGGCGCTCACTGGCGTCGCAGCGGCCTCCGCATTCTATCTCAGCACAAGACCAAAACCTGAAAAACCTCTTGTCACCCTTCACGAGCAGAGCTTACTAGAACCTGTGAGTACACCTTCTAAGTAATTATTTATGATTTGGCAATAAAAGTAAAATAAAATAACTATTTAAGCAAAGATTCCGTGTATATAGTAAAAATGAAGATATGCACAACTGTACCTTGTTAACAGTTAGTAAGGATTGCATATTCTCAATAACTAATAACAGATTATTGAGTATATTTGCTACTAATGGAAACGCGGGTATTGTGTTATAAGCGCTTAGAAATGTTTAAGCGTATGGTGACAGATCTTTGTGGTGACAACAATGACATTCTAATTCTAGCAGTGTTAGAGCCACGCGGCAGATTTTGCTGTCGCACGGATGGGCCGGCTCGAACCGGGGTGGTACCACGACCTCACAGAATACCAACGTGAAGTAGAGGTTTACCTCTGCGTTTTGCTTGGTGAGTGCAGGTGGCCGGAGGCCCTTTTTACTGGAAATGAGGCATTCCATCTTAGTCCTCACGGGTGAACACGCATCTGCATTTTCATTCGCAAACGAGGACAGATGTAGATGTCTATGGGCCGCAGCAACCACTTACCATCAGTTGGACTGTGTGCTCGTTTGTCACCCTTATCTTATAAAAAAAAACATTATATACTATATATGTTATGAACTCACGAAATCACCGAAAAAAGTGTTCCAAACACAGTGACGGCACGCTATCACACTCATTTCGTTCATCTTACATTTCACTTCATTGATGAATGATCTAAAATTAATGCCGTGGTTAAAATAATAAAAAAACAGAGGACAGCTAGTGTTTGTCACTTATACATAGGCCACTTATTCTATGTCCAGAGTACAGCCGTCTTTATCGTCCTGGCGTAAAATTTATTTACCGCCTTTTTGTTTTTTTTTAACCTCCACAAATTAAAATATTAGGAAAATAATTTAAATATACTATGAAATCGAAGTATATTGCATACTATACATGTGATATGTTTTGTTAACTTTAGAATCATAACTGGTACTAAAGACAAAATGTCCCAATAAGGACGTTTTCGAGTCTTCACTACAGCTGCTTTTTGTTTAGAATATCATTAGGTGACAGTCTAAGAAATTTCATCACTCCATTTCGAGTGTAGTAAGAGGTGACTTTATAAAATGCCAGAAAGATTTTACGACTTCTGATGGATGGTGCATTTATGGCAAATCCTTTGCACAACAGGAGAGATCTGTTAGCCTGATGAAATTAATGGCACCATTTATCGAAAGTCATACAACATTTATGATATTTCTCACAGGCACCTGTTACGAGACCCACCACGGGCTTAATTAAGTCTGCGATAGTAATGTCTGCCTAGACGGCAATATATCGGAATGTTTTTTTTATAGGATCGGGTGACAAACGAGCACACAGTCCACCTGATGGTAAGTGGTTACTGTGACCCATAGACATCTACATCTATCCTCAATAAAGACTCAAGATGCAGATGCGTTGTCACCCGTGAGGACTAAGATGGAATGCCTCTTTGCCAGTAAAAAGGGTCTCCGGTTCTCTACACTCACCATACGAAACACAGCAGCGTTAAGCTGCTATTTGACGCTGGTTTTCTGTGAGAGCGTGGTCCTTCCCCATTCGAGCCGACCCATTCGTGCTACAACCATAATATAGCTGCAGCATGGCTCTACCACGTAGAAATGTAACTAACTTACTAGTAAACACTTCATATATTTCAATTACCTGTACAAGAAAACTGCATCAGTTTTTAAGATAATATTTAATAATAATTATAATAAGTTCTTTATTTCCAAAAGGTAGTACAACCAGATATTTGCTTAACACTTAATAAAGCTAATTTGGTACATATATTTTAACACGTGGTAGAGCCATGCTGCAGCTATATTAATAGTATAGTTGTAGCACGAATGGGTCGCCTCGACCGGGGAAGGACCAGGCTCTCACAGAATACCAGCGTAAAGTAGCAGCTTAATGCTGCTGTGTTACGTATGGTGAGTGTAGAGAACCGGAGACCCATTTTACTGGAAAAGAGGCATTCTATCTTAGTCCTCACGGCTGACAACGCATCTGCATTTTAATTCGCAAACGAAGGTAGATGCAGATGTCTATGGGCCACAGCAACCACTTACCATCAGTTGGACTGTGTGTTCGTTTGTCACGCTAATTCTTTAAAAAAAACATAGCATCTGTAGCCGAACTAGAAGACCTGTGCATCAGCTGCCAGCGCCATATACCCACCGTTAATTTACATAAATATTAGGATGTAAGCAAAAGCTAATTAATTAATATTATGTAACGAGTTTGTACCTTATGTTAACACTAGGTACAATGAAATTTAATGGATCACATGTTATGTTCCATATGCTAAGTAAGTAATTAAACATTGGCTACACATTTGTTCAGGTATCGATAATCCAATAAATACCAAAAATTATCGATCACGCTTTTGATAATGTTTAGACTAAATGAAAGGTTAATGTTCGATAATCGAAAAATTGCTGACTTTTGATTGATTTTAATTTTAATTTTTAATAGTTAATTAAATCTAGTCATTTTAGATTTTTCTTGGTATCTTAATATTAACTATTATTTATGGTATGTGGGTGACATTTAAAATTTAAGGTCAATGATCGGTGTGAATTAAAAGCATGTGATGCAATAAATGTTATCATGCATTATATATATTCTTAAAGGCTACTTTGTATTGAAATCATAGCTGAAGGAATATCCTTTATCGCGAGGTATCAAAGTTCATGTTGTCCCAATACAAACCGCCGCCGCTAGAGTTGGCAGAGCGCATCTTCGGGCGATATTTTTAACTCATTGTACCAAGAGCAGCCCTGCTTGCTGCTCTTATGTCAGTACCCAAAGTTTATAGCGAAAGTGATGAGCCTCTGAGTTACTTGGTCGCTAGCAGCCGCAATAAGGCCTCGGAAGTTACAAGTGATTTATGAATCGTAAAACTCAAACAAATTGTAATTAAAAACCGATTAGTTACCAACGAAATGAAAGTGACGGTTGCGCAATATGCAATAGCTTTTTAGGATCTATTTGAATTTATCAGTGATTTTGGTGAAGTGAGAGAGCTTTATTGTGAAATATGGCATGCTGTGACTGTTGTATTGGAGTCGCTCCCATCCGACCTCCGATAAACCTCAACGAACAATCAGATACTCTTAAAGTAAGAATTTTCGTTATTAAATAATTCCAACAATGGTAAATCTAATGTGATTTATATAGAAAGAATAATATTTTAGGTAAACTGCATTACGTGTAAAGAAGTTACTTACAGCTTGTGACTAAAATCATCTTAGTTTGTAAAAATTTTGCTATTTTTGAGGTCAAAAGACAGCGAGCGATTATACATATTGCGCGTTTTGGCAAAGCTCCTTACATTTAGACTCAGATCATCGAGAGACCTGATGTCGGTTACGTGTATCTACGACCGATTCGACGCAAAAATAACATCTTCTAGATAGTTCTTTTATCTGCCAAATCCCACATTATTTAATGTACCACTATTTGCTGAGTTATATAAAAAAAATAGTATGTTTTACGAACGCTATGAGAATACCCACTATGCGAAGATCGTAAAATGCGACAATTTATGTAAATGACTATATCACATCGCGAACTTGTTTAGGGAATCACTCTATTGAATTGCTTTTTGTGTTGTTTAGTTTTTAAAGACAAACAACTTAATATTTTTTAACAACTATAAAACTGGTGCCATTGTTTTTTTCTACTTTTGATGTTAAATCCAAATATAATAAAATTGATTCCCTATAATGAGTAAACTTACTTCGATCTTCTTTACCAGCCATTAAAGTCGCTGCTTGATATTGTTATGTGTTGCTTGACTTGATGCGCATTTTATGATAATTTTGTCCATATTAACCACGCCAGGCAGTAGTTGGTGGAGGTGACTTCGTATTGGAAATCTTCATCTTTATCACCCGTTAAAAATTAAGATTAACGTTCGCGTATAAGACGTCTCGCACCTTTGACTACTACTGCCCAGCGCCGGTCTGAGTATTTCTTTTTTTTTTAATAAACGTTACCCCCACACTAGGATTTTCTCCTGTATCGTGGAGGCCAGTTTACAAACATAAATTGCACAAGGACAAACATCCAGACCCGGAACAATTATTTGTAGGCCACACAAATACTTGTTCCGTGCCGGATTCGAACCCGCGGCCCCCTGCGCAACACCTTATTGAACACGGAGCCGTCGAGTATTAAACGTGTAACGTAAAGAAAGGGTTTTACCACCTTCTATCGGAAGCTATAAGATCTTTGGTCTATTCCATAGTTTCTGGTCCTTTTCATAGTTGCTTCTTACGACACCTAGGTAACTAACGCCCAAATACTCAAACCCTATTCAATTTTAAGAAGCCGTTAAGTGTCGTGCTGTCTCTATCACTTTAAGTCAAAGTGACTGTGACACCACGAGACTTAACGACACGTTAAAATTGAGTAACCTTTGAGTATTAGGCATAAATGAGGTCTTTAGAGGTATAGATGTTCTTACACACCGGCCACACATGTAATGCTGCTTCCCAAAACCAGTGTGTGATTTGGGTTAAGAGGGGTTTTGAATGAAATTTCCTAATCACCTTTCGTAAGTCAGAAAAGGGTGTACGTGGTATAAATGCATGTTAGTATTCTTTCCCGTTACAAAATTAAACATTAATTTCAGATATAATATGTTGAGATTGAAATATAATCTTCATACGTGGTAGAGTCACGCTGCAGCTATATTGTGATTGCAACACAAATGTATTCTATATAAAGACCACGCCCTCACAGAATACTAGCGGAAAACAGCAGCTTAATGCATTTGTATTTCGTACCTTGTTCACTCACTTACCATCAAGTAGACCGTGTGCTCGTTTGTCACCCTTATTCTATAAATGAAATGCTCAAAAATGGTAGCCATAATTGCCATGGTATACGATAAATATAGACCGCAATGCTAGGCATAAATATGAAGATTACGTTGCTGCCCGATATCTAGATTTCTGGATTTCCTCTACATAGAAATTAAAAGGGCATAATGAAAGGAAAACATGGAATTTATGTAGGGGTATATATACATATAGGAAATTATGGGATTTATATAGTATAAGGTATGGTAGGATTGATATCCTAGTGATCTAATCTGGAAGAAGTGAAAGGTCAAAATTAGTGGTCGATGGGTAAGCTGAGTTCACTATCCTTATACTAAGTCAAAGAAACGAATACTTGGATAGTGTAGTTATTGTCTCTAATTGTAATAATATCGCATATTCGTATTTCAATATAAACGCATATTTCTTTCTCATCCGCTCCAAAGGGTCAGCGGAATATGAGTCTCTTCCAACTAAACTTATAACTATATCTTTGAGTGTATAATGTGCATTTGTAATCTTTAGGCATAAAATAAGTAATTTATTGTAAGTTGAGTATTTATGTTAACACTGACCAGTATATTACATGTTCAAATTCGCTGAATTTTAGAATTTATGCATTGTCAATTAAGCGCGTGAAGTTTAAACAGTTTTGTTTCATTCAAAAACAAAAGAACATTTTACTAACATGTTTAAAAATCCATAAATTTTGTTTGTTTTGCTGTAGTAAGCGCTCGTGGATAATTTTAGTGTCTAGTAAATTTTATGAACATAAGCGGTCAATGCATAACAATAGTAACGAGCATGTAAATTACTAAGGTTATAAAATGGGACGTAAAATTCTTCAACCATTTGCAGTAAGTAATTTGCAGATCAACTCGACTTACACTCGATAGAACACATGCGACCTAAACGTCCCCGTCAATCTGCTGAAATATTCAGAGTGAAAGATATCGTAAACCCATTAGAAATATTCACGCCCACATCGACATAGCAACGAACAGAAATAATATTGACTCAAGAAAAGGGGGCTTATATACCTTTACTTGTTTCATTGCTAATTTTTTTGGCAATCAACCCAGACGAGTCACGCGGGACCACGATCATTATTTTTTTGGCAATATCTTTAATTGATGTAATTATACGAAGTTTTAAAATTATTATACTTTCCGCAATAATCCGCAAAAGTGACATACGTAACTCGCAACATATTTACAATTAAATAAGTCATGCACTATTTGACATTGACATAATAATATTATGTTCTATCGCCCTGTAGTGGCGGTGTGAAAGAATTCATTATCCCCTTATCATCCTGTGGGTTTCGTAAGAAGCGGTATAGGGAAACTAAAACAGAAGATGGCCAGCAGCGTCTTCTCGCCTGCCAAGCGTGACAACTATGGCAAATATTCTATGTTGGACCTCATCCTATGAGGAGGCCTATGCTTAGTGATGGACATAGATAATCTGTAATAACGATGATGATGATTATAATATAATGTTCCATGTTTTTTCATATTGTGGTATAGATAGTAGTTAGATAGTAGTATTTTCCCAGATCCGGCGACGAGAAAATAATGCGCGAATGATTTGATTGCTTCATCAATTACGTATGCATCAATGTGGAAAGTTGATATATGTATGTATGTCTAATATTTCAGTGTTCACATACGCATGATATGGTTAACGATTCTTATGGCATCGTACAACATCGACAAATGCAGATTTAGTTTTTTTTGTATATGGATACAAATATTCGAAAGTACAACAAATTCCTAATTACATATATGAATACGTTTGAGGTTTCAACTTATACCAAGTCGGGGTTTAAATAGCGATGATAATAATAATACAAGAATGGTTACAAAAATTTTAAAGGTTCTTCTGAAAACGGAAGCCATTAAAATGAGCTAAACTATATCAGTTAAATTATTTCTTTTAGGATTAGGAAGCTGTGTTAATTACTTTATTTTACTTCTAACTACTCTTTAACTTCTAGGCATTCAACATCGTACTTATCTTTAAACAGTATTTCATCTTGTCATGGCGGATTCTCAATACAGGACACGACGATGTTTCAAATAACAAACCAAAAAGAGATTCAGGAGATAGCGCTCCGTCATTATAAAGACAAAAATAAATTTACCCTCCTTTACACCTGTAGATTGCCGTCACAATTGATTATATCTAATCCGAGTAATATAAATCAATATACGAAAATTATTTCTAATGTATGTTGCATCTTAGTGTTAGACAAACAATTCTTTGTTACAAAGAATAGCGTCTATAGTATCGTACATATAATATATTGATGTGTAAGATTGAAATATGCTTACATTTACAGTCTAATGAAAACACTGCAACTATATTTCTTCAAGCTTTTATTTAGCTTGATTTCTTCTATTGTTCGTGGTTCAAAATTGGAAATTAATTTATGAAGTATTTGCTGACATCTGATTGAGCTGAAATTTTAGCTTAGTTATGTAACTTCGATAGTAATTTTGTATGGAGCTGTTTTGATGATAAACTCGGATGCCAGCCGAAGGCTTACTAAGAAAAAAGGGAGGTTACCAATTTCAGTCAACTCGACCTTGAAAGGACCACGCTCGCACAGAGTTCTAGCATATAATGGCAGCATAACGCTGCTATTATTCTTATGATAAATAAGAAGAGCCTTGTAAATGCTGGTGGCCAACGGGTCATCTTAAAAACATCTATCACGAGACTGTTGATGCTTGTAGAACAGAAGCCTAATAAGGATTTGTCTCGTGACATATTGGAGCCTTGCCAAAATTACAACACGACTAATGAAGAATAATATTGTATCTGTCATCGTACACGTACTACTGAAAAATTTATTTTAATAACATTTTAGGAAAATATTTTTAGGATAGGTAGGTTAGTAACAGGCCTTTGCGTGTATAACAGACGATTTATAGGTGCAATTCCTGATAGAAATCGCTAACTGAACATGATTTACTTATAGACTTACAAAAAACAATTTCGGGGGACTATATTCAGCCGTCTTGTCAGTTATAGGCAAAAGCCGGCAAAACTTACGAGCCTCCACTACGCGTTTGCCCCATTTCATTCTATTTTCCACAAGCTTCTCTCAGTTTCGATAGACAATTTAAAAGGGACCATGTCGCTCTTGGCACCATCGTTAAATCTAAGCAATAGCCATTGAATAGAAGAATATCCGCTGTAATATTTTTTACTCAGGTAAAGAATTCAAAGAAGAATTGAATAAAATTTATTTTATGGATTTGATCGCAATTTAGCTTCATAGTATTTTTAATTTTTAACTTTTCGAGTGTTTGACATCACCCATGGACACGTATCACACAATTCGTAACATTTATTTTATTCGACTACGATGTTTCTTTCGAATTCTAAATAAGTTATTTCGAAGAACATATGTATTTAGAAGCATTGTTTTGATTGCAGATGGTAGAAAATTTTTAACGCTATAGAGAGAACGCAGGGTACCGGTAACTTTCTGGCTAACGGTCGTTGCTTGGTCTTTCCAATTCAAGGTAGAATCAATTAATAAACCTAGATCCTTCATAGCAGAACACAATTGAATCTCAGTACTATTAAAAAAGATAGGAGTTATATATATTAGTTGACCCAGCAGATGATGAACTGTGTTTCAATCCGATCATGGACTTTTAGTTTAAAAGGAAAATTCTAAAGATTTGCTTCTAATTTTCTTTAAAATTCGTGTTATGAAATGAAAATAATATTTCTAAAGTATTTACATTTAAATATTTAAATTTTCAATAGTTATGATTAAATTATCGTAGAGTGGACTTTATATATAAAAATTACGTGTCACGTTGTTTGCCCGCAATGGTCTCCTAAACTACTGAACTGATTTGAATGAAATTTTGCACACTGTGTGCATTTTGGTCCAACTTGAGAGATAGGATAGTTTTTATCCCGATAAATGACCCTCAAAAATTTTTATTGCGAATTTAAGAATTTTTATAGGAAGGATCGTTGGAAAGGGCAGAACAGAGTCTGCCTGGTGAGCTAGTATTTACTATAAATAATAAGGCTCTAGGGGACAATTAAACTAAATATAAAAAATATAAAGAGTATAATTGGCATGGACTAATAGTTTCACTTATACGCGCAAGAGAAGGTTTATCAAAATTCAGATAAAGTATGACATTGAAATATTCTTAGAAAACCTTAATATTGTTACTTAATTCTGTGATATACAGCCAGCACTCGTAGAAATATTCTATTAACGGCATTAGTAATAATGAGTTGATTGTATGTTGAACTTTTACATAGAGCCTTTTCAGTATTGCAATTCGTTATGTAACCTTTAAAGGTCCCGGAGATAAATATCAGATTTAATTATTTTTGTTTTATAAGCAGCTTTTCAAACTTTAACTGTGTTAACGTCAAAGATGAGCCTGCGACCTACGAGATGCTTAAGAGCCCCTAAGAGTTTACCTTTGTCAAACGGAGAAAATTGATTATGTCTATTATTTACACTTTAGTAATTTACATTAACCGCATACAAATATTGTTCACTGCGTATTTTGTTATGATTTGATGGTAAATTAGATCAAATAATAGAAATAGAAAATTGACCTTTGTACCGTAGCGTAAATAACGTCCTTTGTTTTTAATTGCTCTAAATAACAAAATAACGTTTAGAAATTAACAAACGTGAAAAGGTTTCAAATTCTTAGCTTATATTTTTCTTTCATAGTGAATTCAAATTAGGCTTGAAGAACGAAGCCACGTAACTAAAATGCTTGCAGTAATATACGAAATAAGTTTAGTGATATTTTGTTTACATTTTGCGTGGACGTTAACTTTCAAGAACGCGTAATTCGGAAACATCGCTAGCCAAATCCCTACAATGTCAAATATTTCTAAAACACCTTATTTTTAGATGCCAAGAAAGTCATCTTATTCCGAATTGACCTTCTCAAGATTAATGATTTAACTGTTTTTCCGAGGATCGAGTCATAACGTGTAAATTAGTTTTTATGATCAATTTTTTATTAGCAGCATTAATTAACAAAATTAATAAATTATTAATCTTAATCAGATTAAGTGCTAATAAAAAGTTGCAAGTTTAATAAAATGGACAATAAAGTGATAGATCTAGCATAGATTACAATATTTTATATTCAATATGAATTATAAATGATTTGGGAAAAACCCTGCCCTGGAATGAACTAGCAAGAAACCCAGACGATATATTTTTTAAATAGTTTACATTGTAGATATCTAAACGAGAGCTATCCACTATTAAGATATTTGAAAAGATGACTCTTATATATACACATATAGAATAAGCTTAAGATAAACTGACAAATCCGTATTTATGATTCCAAAAATAGATTACGTTATGTCACTCAATTCTGTTATAAATATATACACGATTACACAAATGCCGCCGGAAATTTCTTCGGGAAGACAAATTCCTCTTAACCGTGTAACACTAATTCTAAGATCAAATTACCTGATGTCTTACAGATGTTATATTACCGTTGTTTTACCTAATGTATGTTGATTAATCCTGTCATCTTTTAAAGAGTAAGCCATTATGTTTTCTATTAAAATGGTTTCTGGAATAGCTTTCAGGTATATTTATTTTCAAATTCTCTTAAAGATACTTACAGATATAAAGAAAAAAATTATAGTAAAATTGTTACGAAAGGCAAGATTGATAATTGATTCTAGAGAAAAAAAAAGTGTGACAAACTTATGTCACTATATATTGTTAAAAATATCATTAAAATTTAAAATAAATCTAGTTGTTACTTAAATTGTTACCGTTAAACAAACATTTCCTGTATAGAGTTCTCCAATATAATTTAATTTTTCTTTCATACTAAACATTTCTACAACTGAAACGGTAAAGGAATTATTTGTAGGCAATAAACATCTGCAAATAATATTTAGCAACAGTAGTGAGGTGGCGCCATAAGACAATCTATCTCCCTATATCGTTCATCCTATAGTTGTCTTAAAAAGCGACTATGGAAGATGCCAAAAGGATCTAAATTTGAATACCATAGTATAACCTTTCCGTTTATTCAGACGTTAAATAATCAGAGCTGCACCAATTCACATATCAAGTGTGACGATCATGGAAATCCTCTCTTTAAAAAAAGAGACCAATGTCCAGCAGTGCAATTTTACTGACTGATGAAGAACTTGAAGAAAAATAAACATAGCTCAACAAACGATTTTATCCGCCCTCCCTTTCAATGTCGAAGAATTTACGCGGGATGCGTTCTCTTAATACGTAGTGTATGCACGCGGTTGCTTTGTAGTAACAATAATTTCGACAGACCATTTCTCAGAAAATGCAACAAAGTTCGCAGTTGAATGACTTCTTGACCCACAATGTTCTCAGCATTTACTCAAAACGAAAACATTCTACTGCGAATCAGTTTTCTGTTTAATTACTTCGTCCATTCCCACACGTGACTTTGACCCGTTCTTCGTTCCGTTTGATTTTACAAAATCATTATACCGTAATGTTTAAGAGTACTCCACGTTAAAGTATGAATTACCGAGTTTGTGAGCCAAATATGTCATTAGGTTAACGGACTTTATTTGCATAACATTTGAGTAATCAATGTCATACGTAAACTTAAGTATGTACCTACGTATAGATAAACTTTAAAATATATTCCGGCATATAATGCAAAAAGCAATAAGCTTTTCACAAGATTACAATTATTTAAATAGCATTGAAATGTGGCTATGTCGTTCAACTTATCGCTTTATATTAAATAGCGTTAAAAACATTACAATTGATTAGTTCTCCATATGTTGCAAGGATTCAGCGCAATGAACCCGGATGGAATGTAATACAAACATTACAGACAGAAAAAAAATTACAAGTCACGTATTTAATATAAAATACCTTGTAAATTCAAATCCATTATAATAATTTTATATATTATACGTAAAAAATAATTTTTAATCTTCTCGCGATGTAGGACGTGAATAGGCTATAACTTAACTCTACATTCTAATAGAGTTTCAATGTGTAATATTTTTGCTAATTCCAAAATATATAATTTTATTTCAGGGGCCTGAATTAGTACGAGTATCAAAATTCTACAAAGATGCAAAAAACGGTCGGTTCCTTCGTTATCTACACGATGACACACGAACGCTTTTTGAAACATTTCGGCGTGGGGTTAAAGAATCTAGTAAGTAAAATACTGTAATTATTATAATATATTACTTAAATAAGTACAAAGAAGCTTAAAGTCAAATTTTACAGATATTTTGAAATCAGTCATAATATAATATTATTAAATAAAATTAACAAGAGCAGGGAATGTCTCAGGGCGTAATTCTAGCACCACCGTTATTCCCTCTGGATTTCCACTCGCTAACAATAAATGCGATAATACATATGCATTACAGTATTGTTAACATCATTCACAAACTAGTTAATAGGATACAGTTAAACGTAATTTGTGCCAGTGAAGTAGTCAGGACAGTATTCTTGTTTTTTTTTACCTACATGGGTACTTTAAATACGTTGTGCTGTTGAAAATAAAAAAGCGGGAAATCGGTGCTACAAAGTTGTTGTGATACGTGGAATATTCCACAATGCTGCAGTTACAAAGTCTCTTATACCAGACTAACTGATGCTGAACGACTGTAAAAATATTTTTGTTAAAAGCTTCATGGTCGCATTTACATTAAGATAAAATAAAATACAATTTTACTACAATGACTGTTAATTAATTCCTTCGCAGATAATGGTAACTGTCTCGGTTGGCGTGAGGGACCAAATAAGCCGTTCGTATGGCAGACGTACAATGAAACCCTGCTGAGAGCGAAAAACTTCGGATCAGGCCTTATATGTCAAGGACTTACTCCAGGCCCGAACACCTTTGTGGGTTAGTTATTTTATAGATTTTAAGATGAGTTTGTTAAATAATTTTTTATTCAATCACTTTTACTCGCAGACCTTGAAGTCATTACAGTACTTTAATGTAATTGAATGATTTTGCAGGTATTTATGCACAGAACTGCCCGGAATGGATTATGACGGAGCAAGCCGCCTACTCCTATTCAATGGTCATAGTACCATTATATGATACTTTAGGAGCCAACGCATGTGCCTTCATTATTAATCAAAGTAAATATATTTTTAATATTTGTACCAATAAATAAGTTTACTAAATATAAATCTTTTCCACTTTGAGATCCATGCGGGTTGGTTACATCCTCTTGTCTATTTCAACTGCCAAGCACCCAATGCTATATTCCGGTTTGAAAGCTCAAAATTACAAAGAATAATAGAAAGAGCGTTCCAATGCAGGTGTCCATGGACTAAAATTTTTATTTTTAACATATTAATATTTTAATTTGACGATTGGCCTTGTTTATTCGACACCGTTTACTCGAGGTGGGCGAGAAGACCGTAAGCTTCGTAGATTATTTTTGATTATCCAAAAGTGTCCGGTTAATGTCATTTGCGTGATTAAATTTTGCTACGACTGTCATTTTACACTTAGGAAATTTACACATATAAAATATAGGACATGAACAAATCGTAGTAATTTATGTGTTTTAAATATGTACGTAAAAGTGACAAATGAGAAAACATAGGAATGTTTTCTCCACTAACCATCAGGAGGATCCTTAACCCTACGTCAATCTTCGATTAGGAATCAAAGTAAAGAAGCAATGTCAGCCTACTGAGAACTAAGATGGAACTTCATTACACGTCTCCGTATCCGAATGGTCTTTAGTTCTCGTCACTATTCGAAACAAGGCAATGCTGCTTTATTTCTGCTGCTACTTTACTTCGGTAATCTGTGCGAGTAATGGCAACACGGGTAAAACTATCATGAAAGATCAAGGTCACTTCGAGAAAGTTTAGAAGGTCGTGTGGCCTCCGATAAACGTTATTATAACCATCTCGTATGTAAGCTAGATACAGAATACTTAGAACGGTATTTAACACAGATCACGTACCTATAGTTTATAAATTCTCCCTGCTATGGAAGCAGACCATGTCAAGTAGTTGGTGTTTTAAGATTAGCAAGCATCACAAGAACATTTCAGAAAAATATGAAAAATATCAAGCGGCCAATACATTTTATATTGTACTTAGATAATGGATCACTGAGCATTAATTAATAGTTTACGTGTAATATGTTTTTATTTTCGCAGCTGAAATGACAATAGTAGTGTGTGAAGACGATAAGAAAGCAAACCTCCTCTTAGATCAATCCCCAAGATGTTTGAGGAAGCTCGTTACAATTAAAGAAGTGTCACCATCGACGCATCAAAGGGCGAGAAGTCGTGGTGTTGATATAGTAAAATTCAGTGACGTTGAAATTCAAGGAGCACAAAAGGACCATCCATTTGTTGTAAGTAGCACGGTATTTACAACAAATAGTATATTTATATTATTTTAAATTAACCTTTATAACTCTTGACTTGAATCTTAATTCTACGGTTGAAAGGAATGAGAAGAGGATATTAAGAGCAAAAGCGGGTGGTCTTTTCTCCATACAAACGCTCTCGCCTGTGTTCTTTCTGGTTTATGACCTCATAGCAGTGAGTTTTTACAGTGAGATAAATATTAACCTCTTCTATGTCTCTTGTATGTTTTCCTTGTTGTTGATACGTTATTTTTATAAGCACTAGAACCCTTACAAAATGTTTTTTTGTTTAAATTTGATAACTAATACTGAAAATAAAAACATAGTGACACGGTGTATATCTTTCTTATTCAGTTTATGAAATATCTTTTAAATTGTTTCAATATTGAAGGAGGAAATGGTAGAGAGCCAAACCTCAAATTATGCCTTTTTACTTAGGGTATTCAGTCGGATTGTCGGATTGTCCTTATCGGTTCCAAGCGATAGTTTCTTCAAATACCTAATTTTCAAAAGTCTCTCGGCTCGCATTTCCTTTTAAATGTCAAGACCAAGCTTTTTTGTTTTGTAAGTGGATGTAAAATAAGTCAAAAGATATGAAAATCAACAATGCAGAACCTCAAATATACAAGGTCTTAGTATTTCATACCATTAAGGGGACTTGTGAGTACACAGTCCACCTAATGCTTTATACTGCTATTTAAGGTCTGGTTTTATCTGATTTTTTTTTCACTACACGATGGAATAGGCTTGCAGTTTGAAAAATGGTTGTCTACTATTGAAGGTATGCCAGAGTGAGCCAGAGTTAACATAGCAAACCTTCCTCTTGAAAACGGTGTACCCCTACCAGAAACGGGCCCTCTGGTGTTGCAGACGCTCGGGGCGGCGGCCTCGAATGCCTAGTAATATAACCCCCGAGGAGGACGATGACTCGAAAGTGGTCTCGGGACATCGTGGTAGCACTGCGAGGAGGCCGGGTTAGCAAGTACTGTCCCCGGGGCGTGCTAATAGTGTAGCAAAGCAATGGAGTAGCCTCGGTTGCGTTCCGAACGGAATACCTGGGATCCATCGTATTCGCTTATGGTGACCACCGTGGGATATGAGCCGGTAGGATAACCTTTTCGTTGCCCCCACAGCGAAAAGTATCCATGATTTCCCCACAAAAAAGCACACCATCCTTCAAAGAAGACTTATTAATTTATCTATTAACAATTGTTCATATGAATTGTATTTACATTAAAAACATGGGCGTAGTAATCACTCGGACTATTAGCAAAATTATTCTAATAAAATAATATTGCAACACAAACAGTAAATGCTTACGTTTCTCAGTAGTAAATACATTTGCGTAGATTCCCCGAAGACCTATAATCGAAAGTGTTTATGACTTTGAGAGATTCTACGCAAGATGATTCAACTTGTTTTATTAGGTCGTTAGGTTTTGCTATATTGCTTTAGGTCAGTTTATTTAGTTGGGATATTTCCATTGCCTTGAATTTTTTTCTTAAGTATCGATTTCAATTTTTGTGTTTATAATGCCACCACAATACAGAAAGATATTCTTAAGTACGGCGTAGCGTTTCTTCTATAAAAAAGATTCGGCGACGCTTTCTATTTCAGTCAGCATACGCAATTAAACTAATATACAACTCAACAGGTATAAAAAGTACAATAATCAACAACTAATTACGTTTTTGGAACGAAGTTCCTTATCAGACGGTACGAATTTGGCGGATGGGGGCTAGGCGAGAAAAAGTGTAAGATTTTTCCGTCACGACCCCTTCTGACGTAGTGTAGACAGCCTTGGCGGCTATAAGGAAGCGAGGTGGAATAATATCCATCTCCCTCGCACTTTTTCTTATCTTGCCATAAAAAAAATATTATTTTATTTTAAATGATGCTTCATTTTAATAGACGCTAGTAATTCATTTATTTGTATTTGTTAATCAATAATAGAATACGTTCATCAAAAATAACATACTACTAAAGGAACTTCGTTCGAACCGAGTGTTCTACAACACTCACGCATGTTTTTTTTACATATAAATATAAAAGGAAAACAATCTTTCAGCCACCGAAACCAGATAACCTTTGCACGATCTGTTACACATCGGGAACCACCGGCATGCCTAAGGGCGTGATGCTAACGCACGAGAACCTGGTCGCATCTATGTGCAGTGTCATCATGCAGCTCGGGGAGCACCGGCCTTCCAAGCACGACGTCATGATCTCCTTCCTACCTCTTGCGCATATGCTGGAGCGGTGTTGTGAGGTAACGTAAAATTATAACCGTAATTTTAACTTTATACGAATGCAACAAATAATTTTCTATTTAAGTCTCATCATCATCATCAACATTATAGGCCATCACAAGTTTACTGCTGATCATAGGCCTCCCTTAAGGTTCACCACAAAGCTCGGTCCTCAGTCACTTACTCCATTAACTTCCTGCATAGGTCCCTCATCATCCCTTCATCTAGCAGAGGGGGGTGGGGGGCAGGTCTATATAGATCCGTTATTTTGTTTCAGTCTGTTCCAATCCAATTATCCGTGAATTAAACCAGTCTATAAACAATGAAGTAATTAAAAGTTTTGATTGAAGTTTATTAAAAATATTCGGTATTTAACATTATATACTTTACTTTTTATGTATTTACTTTTTTAATTATTATAATAAAATGATTTCTTATATTTACGCGAACACTACACATTGAATAAAACTACTTTTACGGATTTTTCACGCTTAATTATCTTATTTTTATTAATTTGCAACGTTTGAAATTAATTTTGTTGGATTTAATAAAAATAAGAAAAATAAGTTAATTAAACGCAATATTCAATTATAATAAAACTTTATTTCAGGAAAACAATTTCTGTCTATTAATTACTAATACCATTTCATATATTTGATTCGGAATAATTTCATGTATTTTTTAATTTACATAATAAACTATTCATAAGTTTCATAACGAATAGGTAACTCGCTGTTACTGTAATAAATAATTGATCTAATAAATATACCCACGGCTTTGCTAGCGTGTTTTTCGCTTTACCAACGTCTTTAGTGTTCCATGCTAAATTCCGGGATGTACTTGATGTCTGTCAATGTGTCAATCTGTCTGTCAAAACGTTAATCATAGAAAACCTTGTAAATTTTTATGCTGTTTATTTAAAATTAATTATAATTTAACTATAGCACCATCTATTGGGTCCAGACTTATTGATGCTTTTTTGGCGCTTAATATATGTGAATAAGATTAATTTTGGTTCATAAAAATTAAATATACAATTAGTTATTAATTATTTACCGCACTACCTATCGGACCCTAGAATAGCTATGGACTATCGTCTCGACAAAACAAATATATTGTGTCAATAATACCTCAATTGGTCAAGTCCTCTAGAATTTACACGACTACTAACAGACGCATAATTATAGATAAAAGGCTTATATTCATAACAAATGTGTGCTAATTGGTAATGCTGACATTTATCATACTCCACGATTTAAGAATTAATTAACAATTCTGATGTTAATGAGTGTTATTCATTGTTAATATTTTTATTATATAATGTGAAGCAGACGACACTTGTTGTCTTTGCTATCTTTGAAGAATGACAATAAAAAACTTCCGCAAAATAGGAAATTTAATGTAACACAAGATTTGTCTTTCCAGAATGCTCTCTACATGGTAGGCGGAGCGGTCGGCTTTTACAGCGGAGACATACGAAGACTAGGCGACGATTTAACCGCTCTGAAACCAACAATGATGCCCGCCGTACCCCGATTACTAAACAGGCTGTACGACAAAGCGCAGAATGAGATATCAAATTCGAAGATAAAGAAACTCTTGTTCAATATGGCGCTTTCAGCAAAGGAATCTGAACTCAAGAGGTATCATCAATCAATCAAATTTTTTTTTAATATTTAGTTACTCCATCCTGTTATTTAGAAATAATTTGATTTAAAATATCGATGTCAAATTTCTTACAATAAAGATGTGTTTTACAAAAAAATTAATAATGAAAAGCTGAAGGTAACCCGGGTAAACCATGACATCGGGATTTCAAACACCTAAATGTACCTATGGCTGTGCTGCAAAACGTACGAAACTTAAAATTGCTTTAAACAACGGGTTCCGTAAGTAATTCGTAATTCGTAGTAATTATTTTTATCAAATTTATTGTGAAACGTTAATCTAAACAAAATTGCATTATACATATTTATTCTAAATAAGAGTTTGTTTATGTATGTTTCTACATTAGTAGATAATCTGATTGTAGATAATCACGAATATTTCCACAAGACTGAAAATAAAAGATTTAAAATCATGAAACATGCCAATCACCTGCCACCCATTGACATTTTCAAGTAAACCTTTAGTAAATATCCGGTTTAAATTACAGTGTGTAATAACATTTTAAGCGCCCGTTTTAACTTGTATTCGAATAATATATATATTTTTGCGGGCAGCAGAAAGTTTTATTAAATTTCTTGCAACCAAATTCAATCTTCAGTTTCAGTTTAATCCTTAATCAGACATTAGGTGCACTGTGCTTGAAGTTATTGAAGTGGTAAATGTCGTAAATCGTTATTCCTCCGTTTACCTTCCACCATCAGACAACCAGGCGCTTGTTTGGTCTCCACTACTTTGTTGTCATTTACCACGCATTTGACAGACCAGTACGCATCGTCTTTGTTAATGCGTGCTGCAAAGGAATAGCATAAATTGCTAGCGTTCTCCTTCCATCCGACTTCAATGTGTTCTAGAGCGAAAAGGCTTTTTGCTAAACAAGGCCAGCGCGCTTTGTAATGTTCGTCTACACCACTAGCCTATAAAGTGAAATTGCAACCTATAATGACCCAATGCTCGGTACAGGCCTCCTCTCATTTTTGAAGAGGTTATGTAGCAATGAGTTCGCCGCGATACTCCAGTGTGTGTTAGCAGACTTTACTAAGTTCTAGAAATATTTTATATTTTAGACATGCTAGGTTTTCTTACGATGTATTCATTCACCAACGGGCACGTGATGAATAAGCACTTGAAAATAAATAAACAATGTCACTGGTGCCGGCTGGATACAAAATGTTGTTTGCGCGCCTGCTATGAAATTTACGATTTGCGCTTAACTCCTGAGTTGCCACGAGACTAGCATACAGTAGATAAAAAAGTTGTTTGTTGTTTCGTTATTCAGAGGTATCATCCGCGCGGACTCCATCTGGGACAAGCTGGTGTTCCGGAAGGTACGCGAGGGTATGGGCGGGCGCCTGCGCATCATGGTGGTCGGCTCCGCGCCGCTCGCCGGCAATGTTCTCACCTTCGCACGTTGCGCTCTCGGCTGTCTGGTGAGTTTCATTTTAAGATATAGCCATTGCTCAACTTCGATTTTGCTTTTAAACTATTAGCCTGTTCTTGACTACTATCCTACCTGATGGTCAGCAGTGATGGCGAAGATGGCAAAGCGCATCGACTTAGCTTAACTAAACTCATTTAATGGTGATTGAAAACAAAGTCATGCAGTTTACAATTTCTGTACAAGTCGAGCAAAAAGCGGCACGGCCGTACCATCCTTTTCTCGAAGCAGTTCAGGCCATTTTCGAAACACTATAACTTCGTTATGGATAAAACTAGAAGCCTGAATTTTAAGTAACCAAATAGGCATTGTACAAACTCGGTATATTTCAAATTTCATTAAATTTGAACCAGTAGTTTAAGAATTATAACTAGTCAAAGTTTCTTAATTTTGTCACTCACTGACTGACCGATCATCAAAACTCTAAGGCACTTCTAGCAGACATAGAAGCTTCAAATTTGGAATACTATTATTGTTTAGTATATAAATCAAGGAAAAACTAAAATATTTTGCAATTTCGGTCCAGTTTTCGAGATACACCAACTGCAGAAATAACTTTGTAATCCCATATAAATATATAGTATTACAAAGTTACCTTTGCAGTGAATGAATCGGTGTACCTATATATGTATAATATAATGGAGTAATAGGTGTAGATAGGTACGTAGATATAACTATCTACAAAAAGAAATGAGATGCCATCAAAAACATAACTTGTAAAAAAAACCAAGTCTCGCAACTCAGTTCTTCTCAGTTCAAAGTTGTGAGATCCATGTAATACCAAGTCGGTTAATTTATTCAGTCCCTACTTAAGGGTCCTTCTGTCTTAAGTTATTACGTAATTAGCTAACCTAACAACGTCTTATAGTGACCATATCAATATTAAAAATCTTTTATGTTTTAAATAAATAAATTGACTTGGCAATCGCACTAAACAATCTAATTTAATATAATATATATTACTTGAGAGACACATTGTGTTTTCATGCGATGGTCAAGTCGATCTATTTATTTAAAATATAAAAGATTTTTTATAAGATGTTGTTAGATTAGCTAATTACGTAATAACTTAAGACAGAAGGGCCCTTAAGTAGGGACTGAATAAATTAACCGACTTGGTATTACATGGATCTCACAACTTTTTACGGTAGAAGAACTGAGTTGCGAGACTTGGTTTATTTTACAAGTTATGTTTTTGATGGCATTTAATTTACCGTTAAACTCTATTGCGCAGGACGTTTTATATACTTATAAACATTATATTGCCTTGTGTTAGCGTTTAAATAATTTAAGTTTAATGTGGAGTCTGCGGAGTAGAATTTTATCTATCTACCAGAGGCAGCTTTAGATTTTATTAGTATTTGCCTTAAGCTATTTTTAATACCTAACAAACGGCATATAAATATTTTTATTTGCTGAAATATTTTCTTTGGCTTGCCTTCATTAGTTTTAAATTTTATGATTTAAATATAAATTTGACGCATTGGGTTTGTACGAACCTTGAATTTAATAAATTTCAACGCCGGTAACAGATGGAAAATTGATCAATCTGAAATCTATTTTACGTGTGCATTAAAATTATCTATTGAAATATTCAATATTCAATTACATTTCAATACGCTCAAACAAACTAAACATATCTAGGATTGTACCATTAAGAATGATATTATATGTGGGAAGCGTCAAGGCCGCGTTATTCAGTTCGACGAAATCTTTCTTATACTCGTATAAATCAACTTTATTTGTTATTCCTCGCAATCTGTACCGCGTTCTATGTTTTGATTCTTTTGGACGCATTATAGACTGAGCAATGCGAGAAATAGAGAATATATATATATATGAAGTAAAAGTGATCATTAGAATGTTGATATGAGAAATATATTATATAATATATAATGAGAATTCAATATCTTAAAGATCTTCTTAACTTTTAATAAATATAAATAATCCTGATAATATTTACACACTTTCTATTAAAAATTTACATATAATATTCCACTACTCCTGAAACAATCAGTTATCATAACAAAATCATACCTCAGTTGAAATGATATGAGTATCAATGACTTATCTAATACCTATGTAAGATACTTCAAAAAAATATCTAACATGATTCCTTTAAAATGACATTATAGAAAGATAAAAACGCAGAAAATGAATGCCTCTAACATTCTAACCCGAAACTACTTGATTAATTTCTGAGGAAGTGAATTAATCGTAAATCTAGAATAATACATGAACGTAATGCAATATATAAATATTTGATTTGTTTGTACTGAACCCATTGTTCAGCAATGGGTTCAATCATCAGAGGTCGAAAATAAATTTTAATTAACTGTAAATGCTAAAGTTAAATACCCAAAATCCATTAATTTTCGCTCCAATGGGTATTGTAGGAGGCGACAAAATTCCGTAAATCCCTAAAGTATCTTACACCTTTCGATGGATAGCGATATAACTTTGCTCTAGATGTTTTTTTTTATAGGATAAGGGAGACAAACGAGCACACAGTCCACTTGATGGTAAGTGGTTGCTGCGGCCCATAAACATCTACATCGATCCTCTATTACAAATCAAAATGCAGATGCGTAGTCACCCGTAACGACTAAGATGGAATGCCTCATTTCCAGTAAAAAGGGTCTCCGGTTCTCTACACTCACCATACGAAACACAACAGCGTTAAGCTGCCATTTCACGCTGGTATTCTGTGCATTTACATTGCATTTATAGCGCACTCAGCTTAAAGATTTGGTAATACAAAATTTCTTTCATCAGCCTGTCACTCCGTCACTATGTCAGTTGACATCGGAGAGGGGAGGTCTATTTATAGCAGTGAAACGATTTGCATTTGACTCACAATCCGAGAACGGATCAATGACATTACCTATATACAAATACTTTTCACGTACTAGAATCACGTTGCAGTTGAACGAGTCGGCTCGACCGGGGTCAGAACTCGATCTCAGAAAATATAGCTTAATTGTCTTTTGTTTATATGGTTAATGACGAGAACTGAAAATTCTATATTCTGGTATCGATAATGAGGCAACATCTTAGTCTGCATGTCTTACGACACATCTACATTTTGATTCTTAATCGACGATACATGTAGGTGTCTATGAATCTTAGTAACCATTTAGCATCCAGTCAAGTGTTTCCAGTGTCTGTCATCTTATTCACGTTTCACGTCTGTCACTCTTAAATCATTCAGTCATTCAGCCCATCACGAATCAAGAGTCATTGACTTGTTATCAGAATGATACTATTGCCCATCTCCCATTTAAGTTCATATTATAGGATAATAATATGTGATAGTGGAATCTCTCACGCCGTCTTCACGGCAAATTAAGTAATGATGTAGTTGTCTATGGGTCACATTATCCACTTGCCATCACACTTTTACATTCATTACGTTTCATTTTTACATTTCACGTTTGTTAAACATATAAATATATAAAAAGTATAAAAAGAAGATGAACCCATATTTTGTGGTTTTGGATAGACCGTGTAGTGGCGGTGTAAGAATATCCACTACCGACAAGAAGCGACAGGCGAAAACAAACCGGGAGATGAGCAGCAGCGTCTTCCTAATAACAAGTAAAAAATGGAGACTGCGGTTGCCAACCCGCATGCCAAACGTTGCAACTATGACAAATATCCCCCATAAATCGATCTATGGGAAGGCCTATATTCAACAGTGGAATTTTTATAGGCTGTACACAGTAACGGTAATGGATTGATAATTTGTGATTTTTGGTTTGCGTATCTAACTACGAAGATACGGTTCCTCGATTTACATACCACCCGGGGTTAACAATCTTATGACATAATTATTATTACATCCGGTACGGACATTAACGATGCTTGCCTCTATTTTAGTGTGTACATTTGCAGTACAATAATATTTCCTATTCAGTTGAGAGTTTCCAACATTCGAAAATTGTGACTGTTGTAATAATGGGTAAGTTCGTTATTATTTCGACGTTGGTTACAGATCGTTGAGGGCTACGGTCAGACAGAGTGCACGGCACCAGTCACGCTGACGGTGCAGGGCGACCACGTGCCGGAGCACGTCGGGCCTCCCGTCGCTTGTTGCAAAGTGAAGGTGAGTTATCTTGTAACGTTTTTGATATTAATATTAGTTTTTCCGTATTGAAACAAATTGTAAACGTAGAGTTAAGGAGAATTGTTTGAAAAGATGAGAAGAGAAGAAGAGATTTACCAAACGTTTCATTCTTTATGCGGTCTCTCTCTTCTCTCTCTCTCTCTCTATCTCTCTCTTCTATATTTCTCTCCAAGTTTGTGTTTTGTGTCTTTCACACAAATGTTATAATTTAATCGAATGCATTTGAGATGTTATATGAGAGCCATTTGAGTGGTTTGCTGATCTATGTGTTAGTTTCTCCTACTGCAATGAACATGCATAAATACACACCTTGGATGATTAAAAAAAGACTGTCCGAAAAAAGTTCTGATCTGGACAGACCTTTAGACCTTTTACAGTGACAAAGATTGAACAATTAATTATAAAATTAGTTTTAGCATCAACTCGGAAGCGTCATTACAGGGGTCTTTATCTATCAACTTTTGGTATCGCAACGTAACGTTATCAGTGAGTTAGGAGCGATAATACATCGTGCTCTAACATGCGTATGTTCGAACAATAAAATATATTGCTGACATTTTTGAAGTCTGCAAACATGCACTAAATCGGCAAGAAAATTATCTCGCTTCAGTTATATGAGTTTTTCAATAATAAGAATATATTGTTATTATGACGTTACTTTGCATATTAATTTATTATCATCATTATCATTATAGCCCATCACAAGTCCACAGCTGAACAGAGGCCTCCCCCGAGAAAGTTTCACGAAGCACATAACAAACCACATATCTTTATTTACCTATAAATCTATCTGATTCGCTTTAGAATTCCTTTAAACTTTTTTATTACGAGTACTTATTAACTATTTGTAAAACACGTATCAAAATCTGTATCACGTTAAAGGAGGAGTAACATTGAACCGTTAATACTATATTATAATTTTTTTTGATCCTTGTTCATCCATAGCTAGTGGACGTGCCCGAAATGGAGTACTATGCGGCGCAAGGTCATGGCGAGGTGTGCGTTCAAGGTGCCAATGTCTTTAAAGGCTACTTCAAAGAACCGGAGAAGACGCGCGAAGTCATCGACCGCGACGGTTGGCACCACACTGGTGATATTGGCAGATGGATGCCTGTGAGTATTGACATCATCTTTATTTGGCAATTTTTTTGTACTATGTTGATTAAGTATATTATAGGCACTTTAACGTGATGTACAAATTTCATTATACAGTACAAATGAAAGGTAGTTAACTTTGAATTCAAAGTTATGTTGACGGTATGAAAATATTTCGCCGTATAAATCACGCCGTGGTATTTAAAGTTAAAGTAATTTACACAGATTGGGAAATAAATAACCTAAAAAGACTCAAAGACGATCAGGGAAATTCCCGCTACCTAACTTTGAATAACAGGCTGTTCTCATTCAGATAGTTATAATACTTAATTTTTAATTTTATTTAATTTTTTTTTCAGAATGGTACTTTGAAGATCATAGACAGAAGAAAACACATATTCAAGCTATCGCAAGGGGAATATATCGTGCCGGAAAAAATAGAGAACATTTACATAAGAAGTCAATACGTAGAACAGGTCTTCGTGCACGGCGAGTCGCTTAAGGTAAGTTAATATAATATATTTTTTATGACTTCGATCGCTCGGAGACGGGGATTCAACACTCTCAGTAAATTTCGTAATACATGACCATCACGATTACGTTATAATACCTATATCAATATCTTCACCGGCTTGTTCGCAGAGAAGAAAACAATTGTGAGGAAATCTACATGTCTGAGAAATAAAATATTTTCAAGAACATAATAAATGTAAAGACTGCGATCAAACGCCGCAGTAACTGGAACAAAGTAGCGGCGAAAAATTTCACTCGCGTTCTTAAAATGTAGTCGACAACTTAATACGCATCTTTTACAGAGAAACTTATTTCTGAAGAAACTTGTTTTGATTCAAATAAGGAAAGTCAAATTTGGTCAAAGTTCTGTTCAATTTAACGTACATAAAACATAGTATTAAGTATTGAACTAGCAACTAATTAGAAAGAACATCTAATGAAAAATATGTGAAATATAAAATACATTATTTAAATTTTTCCTTGCCAAAATGTCAGCCAATACAACATGTGACTTGGATGAAGCCCAAAAAACATGTTTACTAATTGCATGTGACTTTTGAGCATCACATATTTAGTTACATAATATGCAGTTCACTATGGAATTCAATTAAAAATTAATAATACTTTTATAATGTTTTCCCAATACATTTCCACTTCGCCATCTTTCCAAGTATTGTCGAACGTTACTAATTCGATAATGTAAAGAAAATAGAAAGCCGATCGGTAGTACTTTGAAAATTTTTCGAGATTGTTATTTTATAAACTCTATTTTGCTATTTAGAGATCTTAAATATAAGAGAAGGTATTTTATTTTATAAAAATTCTTTAAATTAATTGCCCTTTATTTCATGTAGAAGTGACGTCATAAAATAAGCTTAAAGAACTGAGATCAAAATAATGATATAAAAACCATAGTCTTCCTTTTCAAGATGTATAGTTTCAAAATTCAATGTTTGGTTTTTGTTAAAAAAAATATTTCTTTATTTGATATTAATTTCCTTGATTTCCTTTTTATTGATCCACAATAAATTTGCATTGACCATTGTTATCCTATGAAAAGCTGTCATCCTAACATCCTAAGGTTTGGATTTAATTTAATTAGTTTGTGTATGGTTCTCCATCAATTAATAGAAATCTACGAGTATTTACGCTACGGTACGAAGACTTTTTCAAAACTACGTATTTTAAATTTACCGTTTCATTCTTACTCCTTTTGAATTTTTCATCAAATCTTAAAAAATACGTGAAAAACTATATTTGTATTTGATTAATGTATACAATACGTCATGTATGTAAAATGTGGAGTTTCCATTTATGAGTTTCTTATTACTTGTTTTATGCATGACAAAGGTAGTAAACTCTTCAGCCCTCTATGACGTCAACATTAGTAAAAATTTGAAAGACTACAAAAATTTAAAAATATGATTGATGTTATAATAATAACCTAATGTAAAAATGAAAAATATATAAACGACGACCTCTAAAAGTTTGCATTATCGAATTATATTCAAGTACGTCCATACATATACAGAAATTCGCTAGTCTGTTAAATTGTACTAGAGTTCCTATGTATTTTTAAATAACAACCCTATACATTTTTAAAGCGAGCCGTAGGCTTTTGTTTTTCAAATTGTGGTTCAAATTAAGAATTTATTACTACTGTCATGTTGTGTCGTTGGTGCTAGAGTAGTATAGAGAGAGTACTAGAAAAGTGATTTCAATACATCCTGACTGGAAAAGCGGTAATTTAGCGAGCTGCATAAATGTTGAGCCAAATTAATCACAGATAGAGGTTTATGACAAATATATCCCTTTTGAAGTTATCAATTGTGGAGCCATATGCTCAGCACTGGTATTGATAGCTTGTAATTAATGAACAGTTTGTGTAGTAGAATTAGTAAATTGTTTAAACCTTTGTTACCTTTTACAGCCAAACCTCTTCAATGAGGGAAAATTTACACAGCTAATAAACAATTTTTCAAATAGCTTATAACTGCCAAGGCTAACATAGTTTATTTTTTAAGCACAACATCTCTCTCGGCGATTAGTGATTTATAATTTTTTTTTTTATAAATTTCTGAGTGTTCTGTTAGCAGACAGGATTCTTAATAGGAATATAGTTGCCTTTCAAAATTCTGCCACCCCTAAAATTCGGCTGGCAGAATTTGAAGTAAAGTTATAGCCTATATACGGCTAACTGCTGGGATCAGGCCTCCTCATATTTCTGAGAGGGTTTTAGGACAAGGAACATGTGGACATCCGCCGTGTTGCCTCATTACTTTTTAACGTGGTAGAGCCATGCTGCAGCTGTATTAGTAGTATAGTTGTAGCACGAATGGGTCTGTGGGAGCGTGGTCCTTCTCGACCGGAGAAGGACCACGCTCTCACAGAATACCAGCGTAAAATAGCAGCCTAACACTGCTGTGTTTCGAATAGTGAGTGTAGAGAACCGGAGACCCTTTTTACTGGAAAAGAGGCATACCATCTTAGTCCTCACGGGTGACAAGGCATCTGCATTTTGATTCGCAAACGAAGATAGATGTAGATGTCTATGGGCCACAGCAACCACTTACCATCAGAGGGACTGTGTGCTCGTTTGTCACCCTATCCTATAAAAAAAATACATGTTGGCGAGCTTCACATGTCTTCGAATTATTTTTTTTCTTATTTCTTACTCACTCACGATATTTTCCTTAACCGCCGAGCATATGATAAATCACAGCACCTAAAATTGCAGTTAAGAATTTCATTGGTGCGGGCGGGGATTGAACCCGGGTTACTCGCGTTCTAAGAAATTTACAGCGAGCGTTTAGCCTCTGAGCTACCACGGCTCGGCAGAATTTAAAGGATTAAGCCTAAATCCAATGCTGCCAGCCTTTCGAGTACTTATAAAAAATATACGATTTCTATATTTTCAGTCGTGCGTGGTGGCGATAGTGGTGCCGGATGTGGACGTGGTGAAGTGTTGGGCTCTAGAGCATGGCATTAAGGGAACTTTTTCGGCGCTCTGCGAAAACGAACGCGTCAAGCGTATGATCTTGGAAGACATGTTGCAATGGGGTAGGAATGCTGGTCTAAAGACGTTTGAACAGGTAAGCAATTCTTTTTAGTTCTTCAACACCGTAACGACTGATGGAAAAGAATCCCTAATATTAGGAGAATTGGACTTAATTGCTACGATTAGTAAATTTTTGAACAATTTGCAAGCGTAGGATTATTTTCAACACAATTGTAATATAATTTCAAATTAAAAATTTTGTACAACCGACTTCAATATAAATTATTGAGAATAACTCAAAAACTATTGGTCAGACCTTGACCAAATTTATATGGGACCACATGAGAAGCACTAGCTTTCAAATGAAAAAAGAATCATCGAAATCGGTTCACCAAGAAAAAGTTATGAGGTAACACACATTAAAAAACATACAGTCGAATTGAATACGGTCTCCTTTTTAAAGTCGGTAGAAAATAAAATAAATTATGTCCAGCGACTGCTCGCAAGTCGACTTATGTGTATGTGGCGCCGACAGAATGTCACGCTACGGTAATCCTACTTAAGCCTTATGCTGAATCGGTGGCCTTTTTGTTGCTGCAATCCAGAGTGAAACCTGCTCTTTATTTTTCTACCGACTTCAAAAAGGATGAGGTACTCGATTCGACTTTATGTTCTTATATTTTATGTGTCACAAATTCTTTCTGCCTGAACCGATTTCGATGATTCTTGTTTTATTTTACAGCTGGTGCTTCTCATGTGGTCCCATATAAGTTTGATCAAGGTTTGACTAATAGTTTTTGAGTTCTTCTTAATCATTTATATTGAAGTCGGATGTACAATTTTTTTTTATTATAAGTTATTTTAAGTATTTTGTGTTAAAGTTTTTTTTTTTATTATCAATAAAGTAATTGCTTTAATGAATATATATGTTGTAAGTAGTATTTTGCCTTAATCGTTGCGGTTGGCAGGTGGATTAGAGATCGATCGATCGATAGTACCGGACATCTCGCAAGGTCGACGCTGCTCACCATCGTCAAAGACGTATTAAAAAAGATAGACAGGTTACACACTAACATTATTGTATTTTAAAGTGGCGCAGGTAGTACTATATCTACGTGTAGTTATTTATTATGACACGTTGCGCAAATAAAAAGAGAAATGATACGGCATACCTATAGTTAGAATATACATCATTAGTTGCGTATTGATTGCTGCTAAGCGCTCATTGGCGCGAGCGCGTGACATACTGATATGGAAATGAACACATAAGCTAGCGTCAAAGTTTACACTAGCGGTTAGTGTTGAAATAATAAAACCAATTATGAACAAAACATCTATATTCAAAATATTAATGAGACGTTTTTCTTGCCTCTAACAGTTGCTGTGTAATTTGTGCACCACCTAAAAACACAGGAAGGCATTTTTACTACGAATAACTAGAAGATTTACGCGCTATAGCGAAGGTATAGCCACGACGCGAGACCGTGCCCGACTGAATGCGAGTCGGGCAATTACCTGACTTTCGTATTGCCATTTTAGAGCGAGTATGACGTATCTATACTTTAAAAACATCTTACGTTGCATGGGCATTGTACGTCTGGCGTAAACGGGATTAAATTATACAGTTGGAAGCCTTAAGCTCTTTTTGACATTTCCTGTAGTTGACTTTTACGGCGCCAAGAGGATGTTTTGGTCTTATTTTATATATAAAAATTACGTGTCACGTTGTTTGTCCGCGATGGACTCCTAAACTACGGAACTGATTTCAACGAAATTTTGCACACTGTGTGCATTTTGGTCCAACTTGAGAGGTAGGATAGTTTTTATCCCGATAAATGACCCTCAAAATTTCCTATTGCAAATTTAAGGTCGTTGGAAAGGTCAGAACAACGTCTGCTTGGCGAGCTAGTATTATATACATTTTATATTATATGGATGCAACTTTCGACCATTTTGTATGATACGTCAAAAACAGCTTCATTAAAATCAATTCGTTACAAGATCTTGTTAGTTTTGTATTTATTTGTCGTCACACTAATGAATTATGGATTCGATTTATAAATATATTTAATATAGTTTTAAATATTAATATGTCGCTTTCTGTTCTTTCACAGGTGAAAGACATATATTTGCACCCGGATCCCTTCTCCGTTCAAAACGGCCTCCTCACACCGACTATGAAGGCCAAGCGACCAGAGATCAGGAATTATTTCAAGCCGCAAATTGAAGATATGTACAAGCAGCTCGAATAACGACCGCTCGCAATATTACATTAAACAACCTATTACTCGATATTGCTGAGAGCAAAATGAAATCGATTTTACTGATTCCTATAACGTTTTCGTTTATTTATTTGTATAAGTTCATTTAGTGCTACGAAACTTCTGTTTACTGTGTAATTAGAATTAAACTTTTCATTTCGTCTAAAATCGTATGCATATGCAATTGGAAACGATGTAACTACCTAATGCAAGAAACAAGTCGAGCATTTGCGTTTTATTAATACGTAGTAAGTATCAATATGAAATTGACTGATAAAAACGCACTTACACTAAGTATTTTTTGCGTTAAGCAATAAAATATTTCTACACTAAAGCACTTCGTGACGTGTGACATCTGCTGTATGTGAGTGTGGGTGCTGTGTGTATGGGTGTATGCTGTGTGTATGGATGTTCACAATAATGACTATGCGTTCGCTCGTTTTAAACTCTTTTTTTATATACGCAATTGACTTGCCCAACAAGTAGTGTTTCAAAACAAACTCTTTGAAGACATAAGTAACTAAAATTACGGTAATATTATGTGAGTAATTTTCTAATGGCAATAATCAAAGGAAAATTGTTTCTTCTGAGGTCAATTATATCGATGTCTTTTTGTAAGACATCGACAGTTTATTATATTAAATATACACTGTTTATTGTGTGTTTGTTTGTAGCTCTAATGTTTGAAAACTCTGTAAAACTGCTCTATCGATTGATAACCATGACATTCAAAAGAAATTAAGTAGGGCATTATTAAAATAGTTCTCATGTTGGCAACAATTGAGAGGATTGAAAATAAAAATACTGAATCCAGAACAAAAATTAGTGCCACACTGTAAAGTTACGTGTCGCATGTTATAACGGATATTATTAATTTGTTATTTTTATTGTGTTATATAACCGATCATTAAAAGTAATTTTTTTAACTTGTTATAAGCCAGTGCTAGACTACAATCCCACCTATCCGTCTATCTAACCGTCACTGTCCTATTCACTCTTGCTTTGAAGACACCCAGATTGTAAGTGAATGGAAAAAACACACGCTGGTAAATTGATCGATAATCCGCTTTCAATGTAATTAAAAAAAAAAACTTTGTGAAAGCAAAAAAAACAAAGAAAAAGCGATATGGTTGGTATTGTAAGCCAGGCATTTGTATTTTTTTCAGACGTATGTTAATTTTGTTAATAATATATACTGTAAGTACTTTTGAGTACAGATAATCAAGTATACAGGATTGCACGCACTCATCACCTAGCAACATTTTTGAGTTTGGCATTTTTAAATATCAACTCTATTAAATTTAGTCTCTATGATTGAAAAATGAACATTAGTACTTGCTTATTCACATTACTTATTTATTATACAATAAGTATCAATACCTATTACTGCTGTAAAATCCAGTCTGTTGTTTTGAAGTACTTTAAGCATACTGCCAAGTAAAATTTTGTATGGCATGCGACGCGAAATAACCTATTAAAAAAATACGAACATCCTGTTATGAGAGATGGTATGAATTCTATTTGCACTAATTTAATATGTTTCTTAGGCTTAATTTTGGTAAGCCAATTTTAAATAGAAAATAATTTCTACACTTTTAAGACTAGGATAATTTTTTAAGCAATACAACCAATGACACCGTCAAAATTATTTTACGAAAAATACACTTTTCTAATTTTTAGTGTTTAATTCAATGGAGAGTATTAAAATAGTGTGTAATGACTAATATTTTGCGGGTCTACTACTGAACTCTGTGCCTTTAGAACCACCCACTTGTACTTAAGTTTTATTTAAAGATTATTGATATTGTTTGCAAATAATATAATTATATATAATCTGTATACAACATGCGATTTAAATGTACACAGATTATATATGGCCAACTTTTCAGCTCGTAATGTTTTGTGTAGTCTGCCATAAATATATTTGTAGCCTATACACTAAGTTGCGTTGATAAATAAAGTATTTTTAATAATTTCTTTCTTTTTGTATACAACTGGTAAGTGTACTTAAGAATCTCTAATCAGGATTGAAATTTGTTATGAATGTTTTTTTTTACCTAAACCCTGTATCCGGACATGCGTTCTGGCATAACAGCTATTATGAATGTAGATAATTTTTATATTCATTGTAAACTAAAGCGATCCATGCTTAGTGCAAAATGTTGCAGTTTCGTGTTGTTCAAACCAAAATTTTGTTGTTATTGGTGCAAGTTATACTACCATAATTTATTTTTAAATAAAATTTTTAAAAACCTTATTTCGGTTTTATTTCATTTAACAATAAATGGCGCAGACATTTCTGAGTTTAAGCGGGAACTTGATCGCCGCTGGATTGCTGCTCCTGTATTGTTGTTTATGTAATGGATTTAGATATGTAAAAGTAGTACGATTTTGTGTATTAAATGTCTGCGCATATGACCTATTATTGAAAACGTTGAAACAATTACTCCGATGGTTATGTGAACCTCAAGATAATATGTCAACTTTCATCATCAACTTGCCTCTTGCTCAAGCTGCCGTCAATATCTCCCAAAAACTACACAATGTGCCCCATCAACATATAGTGAAGAACTGTACTATAAAGGATAATTTCTTATTACTTCATACTGGCAAACGTGCAATCGTACGAGTCCATTACCAAACAAACAAAGAAAATTAATTAGATAAATAATAAAAAAGACAAAGCCACAGATATTCTTATAGATTAGATAGATATCATAAAAGCAGAAAAATTTAAAAAAATGTTAAAAATGTGCAAGAAATTAAAGAGCAAATCACTGAGGAATTGTTTTGTTTCTTAATATAATACTCTAGAAAATGATTAACTTTCATTTAAATTTAACTTCTCAATTACATGACATTGAGTAACAAAAAAACTAGCGTCTGGTGAGCAGAAAATTATTTGCCTTCATTCGTTACTACGAGATTACCATATACTATTAAAAATCTAGGCATTTCCTTACATTGTCATTAGGAATAATTATACACTTCATTTTTCGTTTACCCTAAAAGAAGCCTTTCTGCGGTAACATATAAAGTTCGTAGGGTTAAACTTCTTAATTTTAAAGATACAAACGATACACTAAGATGCTAAATAGTATTTATGAGTTGTGATCAGCCCAGTAGTTCATTGTTACGAGTAAAAGAAAATCTACAACGTAAAACAACTAAAGGTGATCGCATATTTGTCTACACCGTACGCGCTGAACGCGTCCTTGCTGAAAGCCTTGCAAATGTTTGTGAGTCCGCATAGGATTTAATAAAGAGAATATTGGAATAAGTACGGCGCGCACGATGTTGATGAAAAATGTTTAATCACCTTAATTCCTAGGTAACACACCACGATCATACACGGAACCTGCATGACAAGAGATAAATATTTAAGTAAAAGTAAAATCTACTATTTATACGTGATAGAGCCATGCTGCAGCTATATTAGTAGTATAATTGTAGCACGAATGGATCGGCTCGACCGGGGAAGGACCACGCTCTCACAGAATACCAGTAAAGTAGCAGCTTAACACTGCTGTGTTTCGTAAGGTGAGTGTAGAGAACCGGAGACCCTTTTTACTGGAAAAGAGGCATTCCATCTTAGTCCTCACGGGTGACAACGCTTCTGCATTTTGATTCGCAAACGAGGATAGATGTAGATGTCTATGAGCCACAGCAACCACTTACAACCAGGTGGAATGTGTGCTAGTTTGTCACCCTATCCTATAAAATAAAATTTATTATTATCTATCGGCCTCATAGAATCGGCTGTTGCTCATTTTTTACTATTATGTATATTATGTTCCACTATGCTCGTTATGTTTATCTAAGTTCTATTATTTTGTACTCCACGTCATTGTAATCTAATTAACTTTAATCCCTTGACGGCAACATTAAATTTTCTAATCTCCATGTACCTATTTTAATCTCCCGCTGAACAAAATTAAGATATTATGATGACGATGTTCCACTGGTCGATTTCTGGTATTTCGTAACCGGTATCTTAAAACTGATACCTTAATCGGAACCGTACTGAAAAGTTCGAAGAAACATATCGAAATTTGAAACCGTTTTGCAAAATTGTAATCAAATTCAAATCCTGCTCGGAGCTGACAACGCATCTGTAGCCGTCTTTGATTAAAGTTGGTCAGGTTTCTATAGGCTACTGTCAACTGCAACTTATCGTCAGGTGGACAGTATATTTGTTTGTCACTTAAATTTTATAAAAAAGTCAAGAAGGCAATATTTTTTTTTAAATACTCCGTTGTAATCGAGCACACTCATTCTCTAGGATCTGTCTAAGAGTCATAGATATAGAAATTTTCAGCCAACTTCGAACAAAGAAGATCATACATGTGTAAACCACTTTCTGAGAATTAAGATCGCATACCTCTAAGTTAGAATTTTTTTAAAGCTATCTATCTTTTTTCTTCTTATCTTATTATATTACTCTTTGTCTCTGGTCCTCTGCTTCCCCTGACGCAGGCATTCTTTCTAGGTAATCTTAATTTTCACGAAGGGTAGATAGCCTAATGATCTTAGTAATTCTGAAGGGACTGCCTCATCTTCGATCTGTTTTCAGCAGTAAAATGCAAAGAAATATTAGGAAATGGGTGCAGTAGCTCAAGGAATAAACGTTCGATTTAAGATTTACGGGACAAAGTACGTTGGCGAGCCGCCACTGAAAATGTTGAATGCAATTTTAAATGCTCGGCGGTGAAGTAAAATATTGCGAGGAGAAAACACGCCTATTTTCTAAATAAAAAAAACCAACCCAACATTATGAACTAAAATAAACTACTAAAAACCTCTTAGGAATGAGAGAAAACCTATACCAAAGCCTAAGCCTAGCGATAACAACAAGTTTTTTACTTTTATTCGGAACTAAGATGCAGTAACTAAGTCACAGGAATATTCAGGATTTTTCCAGACCTTAGATATATTTTACAGTAATGTACCTACATAATTGAAACACGTTTACCTACATCAGATTGCAAGCT